CCATAGGCCTCAGTTTCGCCGCGGTGTCGTCTCATCAACGTCATTCGTGCTACACCATGCTTTTTCGCGATTGCTTGATACGAGAATTTATCTCCTGGTTCTCGCGATTCGATTTCTGCAATCTCTTCTTGAATCGGGTCCATATTGGTTGAGTTTTGACGCGTTGAAGTTTTGTTGTTGTGGTGGTGGGGGTGCTCAACTGGCGATGGTGCTCATCTGGTGCACGGGCACTGTAGCGTAAGACGCGAGGGCGCGTCCTCACGAGGCGCGCGTGCAACAACGTCATCGGTTGGTCTCCCGTGTTGCCATGAGCAATTACAACCCGTGACATTTTCACTCCATTCATTGCTCTCGTGAAGTCCAAACATGGTTGTCGAGAAAGCCTTCGTCTCCCAGGATTCCAGGAAGGACTTGCCTTTCTGGGCTGCCCCGCAATGCCATTGGCAGCATGACATGAGTTTACGATAACGCGGTTTACATAATGGACCGCCCTACACGCCAATTCGCAGATATTTGAACCCGATGGTTTCGCTCAAACGTCGCGAGGATCCTGCAGTGCGCACAAGATGCGGTTGAATTGGACAACGCTGTTTGCCTATGCGGCCTATGTCTCCGCGCATGGAGCCCACCATGCTGAAGGACAGGACTCCTTCTCTCAAGAGCGACTAGATGAGTTGGAGAAGAAGTGGGGTACAGACGTAAGGAAGATTTCCGCACCATGGCACTGAATTGGGACTGACTGCGGCGTAGTGGCCTTTTTCTGGCATCTCAACCTTTGCTCATTTGCCATACACACGCTGCTTGACTCAGCCCGAGACGACATACGACATTGCCATTCTTGGTGCACCGTTCGATACAGCAGTTTCATACCGTCCGGGTGCCCGATTTGGGCCTCGAGCTATTCGCGCTGGCTCTTCGCGCCAGACGTCCTTTCGTGGCTTCAACCCGCGCGCCAATCTCAACCCATACACGTCGTGGGCAAAGATTGTCGACTGCGGAGACATACCCGTCACACCCTTTGACAATGCATTGGCGCTGAGGCAGTTGAGCGAGGCTTTTATGGAGCTAGGAAAACGGCCAGCAACCGAGAAGAGCACACAGAGCGGAGTGCAATACTTCAAGAAGCCGAAGCTGCTTACACTGGGTGGGGATCACAGCATTGCACTACCAGCGTTGAGAGCATTGAAGGAGGTGTATGGGGAGCCCATCACTGTCGTACACTTTGACGCCCACCTAGACACATGGCACCCGGGTAAGCAGTTTCAGCAAGCTTAACTAGAAGACGATTAACTCATCAATAGCCCGCTACCCATCGACATGGATCAACTCGGAGGATCCGACGACACAATCCTTCTTCAACCACGGTAGTATGTTCTGGTTCGCCTCGACCGAGGGTCTGATTGCCAATGGCTCAAGTGTGCACGCGGGGCTAAGGACCAGACTGTCGGGCGACGACGCCACAGACTACGACGACGACACGCAACAGGGCTGGCATCGCATCGTCACCGACGACATTGACGACATAGGAGTCAAGGGAGTCATCGCATCCATCATGGACCGCGTTGGCACCGAGAGACCTGTCTATCTCAGCATCGACATCGACGTGGTCGACCCCGGAATGGCGCCAGGTACCGGCACACCGGAGCCTGGAGGTTGGTCGACGCGTGAATTGCTTCGGATCCTGCGAGGCATCGAGGGCCTGAACCTAGTTGGAGCCGACATTGTTGAAGTCAGCCCGGCATATGACGCAGCAGAGACGACTGGCCTTGCCGCGGCACAAATTGAATATGAGGTTTTGACGAACATGGTGCACAAAGGCCTTGTTGAGCAGGCACGGACTGGGAAACCCCAAGCCAAGGATGAGCTGTGATGGTTTGATGGAGTTGCCGAGGGTATGGGAGAGCAGCATAGAGTTGGTTTGGCGGGCTGATGAGGGCCATGTCTAGTATACCATTTGATGCAACATGTAGGCGGGATGCAGTGAATCGAGAAGTAGATGTAGATGTAGATGCAGATGGAGATGGAGAGTAAATACATCTGTAGATGAATAGTTGTGAGTATCTGAGACACTCCAAGTCAGTCGTACAGCAGCCATCCCGCAGCACCAGTGTTCCCGAGTCGACACAGCTTATCTGAAAGATTTTTTCTACAAGTCGAGAGCATGGGAGTCTGGCAGCCGATGGATCAGTGCTGAAGCTGAAACCAACCTGCAGTACCATGGCCGGTCCTGACGATCGTCGACGTATCGTGCATAAAGCAATTTGACTTGCACAGCGCAAAGCAGCACAGAGCTCCGTCGGCCGCTTGCCGCGCCAGTCATTAAGCCATTAGGTAATACCGCCCGCTCCACGCGACCCGCATCTCCACTCGAGTCCATCCAACGCAGGCTGCAGGCAGCAACGAAGGCAGCAGCCCGGCAAAGGCTCGGCCAAACCCAGCACTAGCACTAGCGCAGGCGCCCGGACCGCCAGCACGTGAAGCGCTAAACTAGCGCCTCGCCCGCGCATACTTAAGCCCGCCGCCCCCCGCCCCCCTCGTTTGCTCTTCAGCTCTCTTTGCCTTTTGGCTTAGATCAAGTGTAGTAGTATGGCAGCCCCCCATATTGAGTTTGGCTTTTCCAGTTAACGAAAACTAGTCTGTTCTTTTCAGGTATGCAGTTCACACTCCCATATCCTATACTCCATATTTCGTTTTCCAGATCTCGCATCTCAAGCTCCCATCTCTCATCCCGCACATCAACTAACCATCGCATTAGTTTAATCTCTGAAACGTGACTACGGTCACATTCAAGATTATTCTTATTTTTGTAAACAGTGGACGGCTCCCTAGGCTTGCTTATAGTCGTCCTCACAGTGTCGTCCGTATCGCACTACCTCGGACTGACGCGAACTTTTTCATCGAGTATTCTGGATAGCTCCTGTCGCTTGAGGAAGAAGATAGTCGTGGTCGTAAATTTTCAATACCAGTAACAATACGCTCAACAACACGCAACAATACACTCAACAATGCGTATCCCTGGTCTTTCCCCTATCTCCTGCATGGGCTGCGCCTCACGACACGTCAGCTCAATATACGTGCCAACGAATGATTGGCATATGCGTTTATCCGTAATCCCGCTTGTATCATCTCGAACCATATCCACACGCATTGACAGTGATATCCAATATCGCAGTGGAGATGAGTCAATTATCTCCAATTAGATGAGACGTAGAAGCGCCAGGTTTGCCTCTTATCTCGGTTAGCTCTTAGCGAAGCGTTTTATTGGCCATATCGCCGTAACACGATACTTTTATGCTCCCGCATTGCCAAAGACACAGTCAGTGCAGCGCTTGCAATCAATGAATGCGCCGTAGTTACAATATTGGAATTCCATTTTCGTGTCCAACAGCAGTAAAAGAGGGACGGGGGCGTAAAGACTAACGTTTGCGGTTAGTTATGCTGTTGGTGGCGCTACGCATTCATCTATTCTTGTGGTTCTACGCACCGGTTGATTGGTTTGCGTCGCTGTGCAATGAGGGCATAGACCTGATCTTGCGCAGCGCTCTGTATGTGATGCGATATAGTTTCTCGCAGATCATGCTATGCACAGCACCTACCCTTGTCCTCGTCTGCCACTGCAACTGCTCTGATAGGTTAGTACCTAGCATACCCACATGCGTGAGTGGAGTTCTGCAGTTTACCTATACGCTACGCTCGATGGAACGTTGCGGCGCAAGGATTGCTTATAGCGAATCAGAACTGTGTCTCTGGCACTGCCGTTGCGTTTTCGACATGTCAGTGCCAGCGCTGCGCTGCCTATTGGCTGCTCATGTAGGCCTGGCCTAGTTTCAGCCTGATGCGCCTTGCACCTCTCCAGAACGGACATCGTTTCCGACTGCGTTATGTGTATGCTCGTCAGCAGTCGTATATATACTCGTAGCAGAGAAAGTAATTAGAGAGATGTGCACCAGTAACGCCTACAAGTTGCAACTCATACTCACGCTCGTACCCCACGAAACATGTCCGCCATAGTTACCGAGGAAGCCTTCGTCGAAGTCCTTCGCACTCAGGTGCAGCAGATAACGAACCTGTTATCAGATATCGACCACCAACTGAACGCTTTAGAGGAGTCCTCATCAACGACAAGAAAGCAAGTAGAGAGACGCCAACTCCGCTCCGGACCAAAATCTGGGAAGCAACAGCGGCTATATCAGTTAGCTAATCAGATTGAGAGATCTAAGTCTCAGACCCACGACATCTTTGAACAACTTCTCGATAGATTAAGGGCCTTCTCGAACACAGATTTAACATCATTGAAAGCTCAAAACATTCCGAAAGAGGCCGTAGCACAGAATTCCACGTGCTTTGGCAATCAAATCGATCAGATTGAACAAGCCAACATTAAGTTGATCACGAGCGGCGCTACGGTCAAAGACAAATCAACAGCCTCCAGCAAAATAAGCGCAAGCACTATCGCCTCGATAAATGTGGTACCGAAGAGTCCTCAGGAGCCTCTACATGGGCACGTTTTACCCATCTTGCCACATGATCCACCCAACGAGCAGGCACTCAACGAGCAGGCACCCGACGAGCAGGCACCCGACGAGCAGGCACCCAACGAGCAGACACCAGCTCCACGATATCCATGTCAACACTCACAGCTTTTCGAGAACATGGCTTCAACTATACAGAAGGCACAAACCGACCTTGAACACAGCAAGGTTGCTGAACGTGGCTACCTCATACTAGTCTAGCCCCCTTGACGAAGACTTATCTGAATTTTGGGATGGATGTGAAGCGGCACCCCATGACAAGAACATGGTACAGGGATTCATTCTTCAGCCTCATGATTCTGGTTACCTAGAAGTTTTAGTGGATCCATCAGCTTCCATCAATCTCACCACTATTCCCTCATTTGAAGAAACATCACAGCCACCACAAGACCCAGAACAAGACTTTCAGAATTGGATTGAGCAGCCCCAACAATATGGTAAATATTTAATCTGCGATCCACTCAAGGAACACAAAGTCAACAAGATCCTCGATGCAGGATCACTTAACCTGAGACCTCAAATACCTGGAATCAATTCAGCTTACTGGTACGTAAGCTTTGATGCTGACACCCCGGCCCCAATGCACATAGAAGATGCCAATACGGGATCTGCAAACCTGTTGCTTGCAGGGGCAGACAAGCATTGGCTTATCATCCATCGCAGTAGCGCCTCAGAGTTTGAAGACTGTGTCAAGAAAGAGCTTTCTGGAGGTGATTGTTCGCAGTTCGTTCGCCACCAAGACTTCATTCCTGGTCCGCTGTGGTTAAAGAAAAGAGGTATTGCGTTCGAGATTGTTGTTCAGAAACCAGGAGACATCATGTGCACGCTCCCTGGGCGCACGTACCACGCTGTCCGAAATACGGGCAAGAATTTTGCCGTTGCTATAAATTACGAATTCGAGGATGCACCCGATCAGCCGTTGGAGTACCGATGGTGCTCTAAAGGCAGAACTAAATGCGGTTCTACAGCCCTTACCATGGAAGACTTCCAAAGGTCCCCTATGGTATCATCCGATACTTCTTCATCTATCGATACAATCGTTATTCTACAAGAAGAATTGAAAGATGGACCAATGGAAAAGAACCACCTGGAGATGTCAATTGAATCTACCTCGCAGGAATTTATCAAGCGATGTTCAAATCCGGAGTGGTTTGGATATAAGAGCAAACAGGAATTGCAGACGGATCTTGCTTTGTTCAACCCTGGACGTCAGTTGAACGACACTGTCCTTCGTCAACTTCTCGAATTGATATCCCTCCCACACGGTTACGTTGTCGTTGAGTCTCTTGGACTAGACCTTTTGAGACTATCCACGGAACATATACGCAACGACGATGTCAAGGGACTCGTTTTCCCGTTTCATGTGAACAAATCGGATCCTTCGAGCACCGCTGATCGTGATCATTGGGCGATGGGCATCCTCGATCTAGGAAGGAAGTTGTTTACTACTTACGATTTACCAGAAGACCTGTCTCTGGAATACAAATTCTCTTTGGAATGCGCGTTACAAGAAGAAAGTTCAACCCATTCTGTTTCAGAGCTGAATGTTCAAGCTGTAAGTCTTCTATCCTTTTGCTTAATAGTTTAAATAAGTTATTTGCATAATCCACTAACACTTATTTTTAGCTGCCACCAAATCCAGATGGGCAATCCTGTGGCTTTTGCTGTTGCCTTGCGCTAGAGTGCTACCTTGATGGTATTAGCCACGATGAGAAGACACGCGAGACCCTTCGATTCCGTTATCTCTCAAAGTTGGTACATCATTACGAAACTTCTGCCCGTCTTAGCAAGGTCCTTCCATATTCGCAACCAATGAAAGTAACAGCAGCGTTAAGCTTGATTGAGCTACCTCAAATCGACACTGGACCTCCTACGCACAGTCATGAATTCTCAAGCGAGTGTTTGGATGACGTAGAGATGGAAGAGACCTCTAGAAATACCCTTAGAGAAGCACTTGCATCTACGGAGACATCAATCGATTTGGAACGCAAGGCTCGGCTGGCGCAAATGATCATGCAATGCTCCTCTAATGATTTCCCTAGGATCAATGACTGGAAATTATCTGTTGCCGAAAATACTAACCTGGCTGCTCAGAATTCTGTACGGACAATCCCTATGGTAATGGAAGAAATTTCACGAAGCAAAGAAGCCTTCTCCGCTCCAACTCTGCATCAACGCCGGCTACTAATAGAGCTGGCTGTTATGTATGAAATCCAAGTTCGAAAGGAAGTCGAGCATATGCAGACAGCCCGAAAACTAAGGAGAAGGGCACAAGCAAATGGAGAAAAGGTAGAGCCTCTTTCAAATAGTGGCAAGACGGCCCAAAATAGAGTTCTAGACAGAATTATCTGGCAAAGTGCATCTGGAGATCGGATTTCTTATAAAAACCAGAAACTTGGATCCAAGGAGCGATTCCGCCTGAGGGAGCGAATAAACATCGGCCAGAATTTGTGTGCTATCGTACTACGACTTGGCCCAGGAGCTTTATCTGGCTTGCCAGCTACCACAGTATATCCCTCAGAGATATCAATTTCCTTTGGTAAATGCTGTCACATATCTCTTTGTCAAGCAATCGAACCTCGCGAGTAAGAACCATAACCTCTATACCGTTCGCTATGCTGATATCCTCTAGTTATCATACTATGTCGGCATTCGATGTGAAGTTCTTTCTTGATTGGTTCGATAGATTGAACCCAGCATTTCTACGAAACTCAAAAACGCTCGATTTCCAGTATTTGCTCCCTCAGTACAAAGACCTAGTTGTTAAGGAGTACTCTATAGAGCATCAAAATTGTAGCTCATTGATGAAGAGAAAGCTGAGGCCTCCTAGATGTTCTGAGTCACGCCCAAGGGCAGAAAAGAAGCCAAGGAACTTGACTGATAGCTCTTGACGTTTAATGGATTTGCGTTGTTGATTTTTAGGTTTCTAGATTTAGTAGGCGGATTGTTAGAGAAGCGAACTACAGCACTACAGTCTTGAGCGCTAACTCCTATATTGTAAATGTCTCTAAGTAGTTAAAGTAAATAAAGCCTGTCTCCGTCCACGGACTTAGAATACTCTTGGTTTCCATAGCCCTGTCGTAGGTCCTATTTCTATCTTGTAGCTACTATGTCAGAGCACCAACCGACAAAGCGAGTTCGACTCGTGGAGCACCAGCCTTCTAATGGAGGTCTATCGCAGAGCGTCTCCCAGGAGACTGCCTTTACATTCCCAAAGTCCCTTACGCTACCGATACCTTCGTCTTACAATCATGCCCTGGGCAATCTAAAGGGTAACTTCCAAGGAAAAGCCTTCCAACAACATGGAAAAAGTTGGATTACGTTAATTAGTATTGAGTATGAATTTGTTACACGGGGTGGATTGCTGATACTTCTCTAATCTCGTTCCAGGTTAGGGCGAGTGAGCCTTTGTAGGATTAGCTCCGTGGGAGGTGTCTGGTATGTCTTAGTGGAAAAGAGTTATAGGATTTAACTAAAGGTTTAATTAACAGTCTAATCTGTATTACTATAGACTAACAAGTAATAATCTTGTTAAGTAAAGATACTAGTAAGAAAGTACAATTTAAGTTGACCACAACGAGAATAAATAATGAAGTCCATCCATCCTTATATCCTTATTGCTTCCAGTCCTGTCCTCCCTGGCTTCCTATCTTGGCGGGAGGTTTGGGAGGACGTTGGCTTCCCTATCCTCAGTGGCCTCCCAGAGGCCATGTCTTGGCGGGATGCCAAGTCACGTGATCTTCGCCCCGCGATAATCGTTCTATTTGTTGGGATCCCCAGTGGTTTCCCAACCATCCGCTGTCATACCTGGGGAGAGGATCCTTCCTGCTGTTACTTGTAACATTACCTCCCCCTTTAGGGCTATCGTCTCGATACCCTAGGTTATCGTTTTCCCGCGCCGCGTGTTGAAGCGTCGGCCGCGTATAAGGTCGGAGCCCGCCCACTCATTGTAGCCGTTCCTTCCTATAGTGTGGGTGGTCAATGCGTGCAACGGGTCAGACAATGCAACACCACCACTAAAATGTCCGCCTATCAAAAATGAGGCTGTAGAGCACCATACAAAAGCTATTATCACGAGATTTTTTAGTGGAGTAGTCTAAATAGTTCAAAAAACAATCCTATCTACTCAAATTTCTTTGGCAGTTTGATGTTGCGGCCGCGCATCGTTGTTTTGGTGGTGGGCTGCGCAGCCGACGATGCAGACGCACCACCACTTTGGCTGCCTGCATCACCACCACCCTTTGACTTTTTTGACTTTTGAGACGATGAAGCTTTTTGTTTAGGTATATTTTTGCTT